TGGTGGCAGCAGCCTCACGTCTGGCCAGCTAACTGGGGCCGGGATGCCCTGCCTGTTCCAGACTACTGACCCCACCACAGCCGGCGTGGAGAGGGGAGCAGGGCAGCTGAAGCCTCAGTGACAGGACAAGGAGGAGGTCGAGGAGCGTGGAGGGGCCTTCTGGGGAGACAGACCCATGGCTGCCCTCAGGCGCTTTCCTAAGAGGAGACTTTGGGCTTGTCTCTTAGGGCCCCAGAGGACAGAACAGGAGCCAATGGAGGGAGTCGGGGGCTTGAAACAGGCTGAGGGCCCGGAGGAACCTCAGGACTCCACCCCGGACGGGCGCGGCTGTACGGGAGGGCATGAGTGTCTCGCCCACGGAGCAGGCTAAGGAGCTGGAACTGAAGGGTCAGCTAGAGCATCTGCATCGCTCGGCCACGCGCTGCTGAGGACAGTCCCACTTGTGCCCTGAGGGGTCTGGAAGCCACGGGCCACAACTGGGAACAGACCTCATTAGTTCCAAGGGCACCGAAGAAACCAAACCCATTCGGGACAAAATGGGCTTGGGCTTGGGGACCCTGAAGGGTGGGCAGGCAGGAGCCCGAGCCAGCAGCAGACTTGGCCCAGCTCTGGTGTTGCTGGGGACCCACCACCACAGCCACGGGCGGGGAACCTGGAACTCCGAAGCAGCACTTCAGAGGAAAACAACCATTTTACTGCCCCTTTCCGAGTGATCCCACCTCCCTGGACCGGCTCACCCACCGGGCCACCTCGTGCAGTTCTAAAAGCGCTGGAAACAACCGTACCTTAAAGAAGATGTAATCGTCCTGCACGGTCAGAGAGCTGTGGTCAACGGGGCCTGCAAACGGGGCTGCCAGCGTCTTATCGGAGCAGTTGTGGATCTGGCAGGTGACATACCGAAAGCCTGCAGGAGGTAAGAGCCACCGCCAGTCCCGCGAAATCTCAAGTATTCAGACTCTGGCTGAAGAAGGCATCGGAAACGGCCTAGACCCCTGAAGTATGAATCGTTCGTGGCTCCAGCCATATGCCAGTACCACTGCTGTGAGCTTGTTTGCGGGTGTGTGTGTGTGTGTGTGTGTGTGTGTGTGTGTGTGCAGGGTCTCACTTTGTCACAAGCCTCCGGCCTCAGCCCCCGAGTAGCTGGGCTGGCCTTAGAGTTCAGAAGGCCCTGCAATGTGATCTGTGTGCACTGAGGGCTGCTCTGTACCACCCCCAGGGACGGGTAGGCACCTCACAGCACCACGTGGCGTGGCCTCTCCACCCTGCTGGGTGCTCTTCCACCCAAGCAGGGAAGGAGCTGGGTGGGACACAGTATCTTCCCCCAACTTAGGAAAATGCTTTTGCCCTTTTCCAAATATTTCTGGTTGAGCAACATCAAATACACTCTTCGCCAGGGAGCTGCTGTTTTTACTTTAAGTTCTTTCATTTTCCACGTTTTGGATGCTCTGGCCAATTCATACCAAGGACCTCGGGCCTTCAAGCCTGAAGGAAGTTCTCTCTCTCTCTCTCTCTTTTTTTTTTAAGTATTTTATTTAAATTTATTTATTTTTAACTTGATCAGAGAGGGATAGAATGAGAAAGAGAGAAAGAGAGAGAGAGAGAGAGAACATGAAAAAGCAAGCTGCCAGGTCTGGGACTTGAATCACCATTGGTCATGTGGGAATCTAGTGCCCTTAACCACCACACCACCTGCCAGCCCCAAGGAAGCTCTTTTTCCTGGTGTGGAGTCAGCAGTGGGTTTACCCAGGGGACCAAGGTAGAGGCAAGGGAAGGATGAGCCCATGACGCCTTTGGGGCAAGTCCTATCTGCAGCCCAAGTGACAAGGCAGTACAGGCAGTGGCTAGGGGCAAGAGGCTTGGCCAGGAAGACCCACACCCTAATTCAGACTGCAGAACTTACAGAAGGGAAAGCCCAGCCTCAGGATATGAGTATTAATGCCCACCTCCCAGGGCTGCCAGGGGACCCAGTGACAGTGGCCAAGTAGCCATGGACAGGCCACTGCTAAGCTCCTCCCAACCATGTCCACTTCCTGTTCAAAGGGCTCAGTCACCCTACGTGGTCACCCCTGAATCTTCTGCAGTGTCTAAGAACCAGGTGGGGAGAAAAGCTCAGGGCCGGCCTCAGCTGGCAATCCTCTCACTCGTTGACTCATTCATTCATTGACTCACTGATGTGCTCCTCGCACACTCATTCAATTACTCACACATTCACTCATCCATTCACTCACTCACTCACCCACTCACTCACCCACTCACCCATTCACACACTCATGACACATTCATTCATCCACTCGCTCACCCACTCACTCGCTCATGCACAAATTCACTCACTCACTCATGCATCCACTCACTCACCCACTCACCCATTCACACACTCATGACACATTCATTCATCTACTCACTCACCCACTCACTCACTCATGCACAAATTCACTCACTCATTCACTCACTCATCCACTCACTCACCCACTCACCCATTCACACACTCATGACACATTCATTCATCCACTCGCTCACCCACTCACTCACTCATGCACAAATTCACTCACTCATTCACTCACTCATCCACTCACTCACCCACTCACCCATTCACACACTCATGACACATTCATTCATCCACTCGCTCACCCACTCACTCGCTCATGCACAAATTCACTCACTCACTCATGCATCCACTCACTCACCCACTCACCCATTCACACACTCATGACACATTCATTAATCTACTCACTCACCCACTCACTCGCTCATGCACTCATGACACATTCATTCATCCCCTCGCTCACTCACTCATTCACCCACTCACTCGCTCATGCATTCTTTTTCAAGCTTGCTGGGCAGTCACACCCTCACATTGTACTGTGTGGGGCTTGAGGCATGTTTGGATCCATGAAGACCTTGGAGGGGGCATAGAGGATGGGGGCAGCTGGGTCATACTATCTGTGACACCACAATCTAGGCAAACCTGGACACCTCTGAATCGTTAAAAACAATGACACCTGCCCCACCGTCCTGCGGTACAGCAGGGATCTCTAAAAAGCCAAGGACTTGGAAATGGTGCACGGCTGTCACATAAGGCCGATTTTGTCTACTGCAGGTCCACCAGAGTGCCTATGAAGGCCTTGGGGGGACTACTGAGGGTGTGTCGACTCCTTCATTCTTATTATTCCCATTTTACAGACGAAGACACTGAGGCGAGTTGCCCGGATCACGCAGTTGTCCTGCGTGGGGCTAGGAGCTGACACCGGTGTTTCTGTTCTTCACCAGGATTCTCGGTAGTCGGACTGGCCTACCCTTGTGGAGTGTAGACTATGCAGGGAACTCCTCTAATGCTCAGCACCCACTGCTCAATGGGAACCTGGTGAGGTCTCCACTTGGAGAGAGTCTCAGAAGAGGGAGTGAAGCCAGTGTCTGCAGGTGACTGTGTCTCGTCCTCCCTCCGCTCCTGCCATAGTTGGGGTCGTACTGAGGGTCCAGGGGTGGTATCTGTCCTGTCTCTGCCCCAGACCTGGGGCAGGGTTTGCTTGCTCAGCTTGGCCTGGCCCCGGGTCCTGGAGAGCGTTACTGCATGAAGGTACCGTCCACGGGCCTTTTCAGCTCTGTTGCTCTTGCACAGCACAGTTCTAGGGCACGGTCCCAGTCAATGCCCTTTCCTCAGGAGCGCAGGGGACACTCACAGTACGCTAGACCCCTGTGCTCCCTGTGGCATGAAGCCGGCTGCCTCAGGGTGGCCTGCTCCCTGCCCTGTGGAGGGGGAAGCCACCGAGGCCCCCCCAACCCCCGGACTCAGCAGGCGCTGGGGGTGGGGAACGGGCGAGCAGAAAACACTCAGTGCTCAGGGGCCAGAACAAATCGCCCTCCTAATAGACTTCCCCACTGGAGCGGAGCTCCTTGACTTCAATTTATCCCCAGCTGGAAAACAAGCACATTTAAAATTATGCCACATTGCAACACAGTGAGGCCGGGCGCGCAGGGCCGGCCGTGCGGACAAGCGATTGCACATGGGCACGGCTGGCTGCGGCCGCCAGGAGAGGAGGTTCAGGGTCATGGGGCCCACCCTCCTGGCTTACCTCCACTGAGGTCCTGGGCTTCCACGTGGACCAAGTCAGGGTCAGCGTCCACCCCAGACACAGCCCTGGAAGAGAGCAGGTCCAGGTTGGGGCTGGGGAGAAGCTCCCCACATCGCCTCGCCCACATCCCGTGTGGCCATGTAGCCTTCCGAGGGCTGAGGTCACTCTTGCTCTGTGGGTTCAGAGGTCACAGCCACTCCCAAGAGCCCACTTGTCCTATGGAGTAGGTGAAGACCCTGACTCTTCCAGGAGCCTGGGTGGGGCTGACGCGCCTCAGTTCATAGTACCGTTTAGTATTTCCCTGTCCAAAGACGTTCCCACAGTTGTGTTCTTTTGTCGATCAAAATGATTTCAGGAGGTGGGCAGGCCTGGGTCGACCACCTCAATTTCTCAGTAGGGAAACGGAAGTTCAAGGAAGCAAAACGACTTACCTAAGGTCATGCTGTCAGTGGCTCACCTGGGATTCCCTCCTATCCCTTTACCCTGTCGCACACCGGCCACACTGCCCTTCACGGTGTGCCCTTGGGGAGATTTTGTTCTATGCCACTGGCCACTCCAGGTGTTCCCCACAGGAGCTTCCCCAGATCTGAGTCTGGGGTGAACGTGCTGGTGAGAGGAGTGTATCCCATCCCACTCCTATTCCTCACGGCCATTCCAGTCCGATCATTGTGCGGCTCGGTTTGCACCAGGTTCACGCCCTGGACAGGCAGGCGCCCTCCTGTGCATACTACAGGGAAGCCCACGGAGGCCAGGGAGGCTCTGTGATCGACCCGAGGCAACGGGCATTGGTCCAGGTCTTCTCAGACCCCACACGCTGCCTTGCCCACTAGTCCAGGAGGCCTGTGCCCTTCGGGAGCCCACCTTCAGGGAGGAGTGGCCCCGGTTTTAGCCAAGCAGGAAT